AACCAACGGTCTAATCTATATAAAAAACGAGAAACGAGAAACACTTATGAACCACATCAACAAACGACAACTATTGAACATCAGATTCCTGACTTAGGACAGATGCAAACAAATGCAGCGGGCTTAAACGTTTTAATGGTACCAAACCTTCACCCTTTTTCTGAAACAATAGTGTAACATCACAACATAGAAAGACACACTATAAAATATCAACTGAAATAGCTTAACTCAATCAAAGGACATATTAACACCATTGAACATACACTGAACAAATAAATTTGACCTATGACACAATGTAAATACAAAATAAATAAACTAAGGGAAGAATAATAAAAGTAACATGTTATATCGATAAGAAATGTTAAACAATTAAAGAAAAACAATATGCTCGAACAAAAATATCAGCCATTTGCAATAACTTTAAACACAGGTAAATGAAAATAATTTTGTTGTTAGGAATACGTGTACAGTACCAATAGAGAAAGGAAATATTTTTACAAAATAAATAATTTTGATGTTCATAGTACGAAGTGAAAATTTATAGTTATACCAAACACTTATCAAAGCTGGTATATAGACCAGATATAACCCTGAATAACATTAAATAACAAAAAAGCAATACAATTAGTATCAACAGGTCAAATAAACAAGAAAGTACGATTTGAGAGTACTCGCAGTTACTGACAGCTAGTTAAAACCCAAAACAATTAATAATAAAAAATCATGCATCAGAGACTAAAATCAACTAAAACACATCCCAGGGATTTAGTATTTTAACGTCATGGACAGTCAAAGAAGACATGACTAGTACAATGCCAAAAATAAATGTATCGACAGACAGTAGGATAGTTAGGAGTTTAACCTCTTTATAGATCTAAACGAACGTGGGTGTGTCTTTATATATCCCACTTGAAAAAAATACAAATTTAGTTATGTTTTAATTTGCTGATGACAAAACCGATATTAGTGCCAATGTAAACTATATTCAAAGATCTAATTACAACATTGGTAAGATAACCTTTACTAATAAGTTTGTTTAAAGGTTCGATGAGTTTACACGGATCACATAGTGATTTCCGCGCTTTAAGTACAATATTACCGTAAAATTTAGGATGTGAAATAACGTTTTTAATTAGTTTTCTACAAGTACAGCCAAATTTACTAATCAAATCTTTGTATCTATGAACGAACTTAGCAAAAGTTTTACGTAATTTATGGTAACGAAATCCTTGGTTTAATAATTTACCAGTGATGCATTGATTACGTTCGTTAAAATCTATGACATCACTACACACACGGGCATAACGAACGAGTTGGGATATATATACACCGTATGATGGAGCCAAAGGAACATCGCCGTCTAAAAAAGGAAAATTAACAATAGGGAATGAAAAATCGTCTCTTTTGTCGTAAATTTTCGTATGGAGTTTTCCTTTAGAGATTGAAATGTCCAAATCCAGAAAAGGACAACTACTGCTGTTTATGTTAGATTTAGTTAAAGTAAGTTCTATTGGGTAAATTTTGGTAGTATATTTAGAGAACTATCATTTAGATAACGGAAGGTATTGTTGAATGTATCAACCAAATGTAACAATGACGTGTCTTTACTGAGTTTGGTCATAAACTGAGATTCATAGCAATACAGGAACAAATCTGCTATTAAAGGGGCGCAGTTAGTGCCCATAGGAATACCTACTACTTGTCGATACACTCTATCGCCGAAACGTACATATATGTTGTCCAGGAGAAAATTTAAAGCTTCAATCATATCTTCACATTTCCAGTAAGTGTATCTAGCATACTTTCCTTTTTCGTTACAGAAAAAGGCTTTAAACGAGTTACAGCAAATAAATTTGTAATGAGATTTTTCAAAAGACCATTTAATTAAATATGAAAACTTTTTCTTGATAAGATTGTGTGAAAGTGTAGTATAGAGAGTAGAAAAATCATAACTGTCAACAGAATTAAAAGGACCATCAAAAGCATGTATTTTATCTAAAACCTCTAAAGAATTTTTAACACTCCAAAAATAATTAATACCATTATTTTCATAAGCTTTATTACAAAAGTTAATAACAAGTTCTTTGATAGTAGTAAGGGAGGTAGTTAGAAGCACTGATAGATTAGTGGTAGAACACTTACTAGATGCGGAGATGAAACGGAATTTAAATGTTTTTTTGTGCAATTTAGGTAACCAGTACATAGTAGGGACTTTCAGATGTTTAGAAGAGGCCTTAAGCTGGGTAGTGGCAGTGATATGCTTGTTTACAATTTGACTCTCTGTGGAGCGTACGGACTTGAATGTAGATGAATTTGTAATTTCGTTTTGGAAAACTTCCGTGTAGTATATGCGTCACACCACCACTACATTATTTGCTGCTTTGTCTGCCGGTACGAACACAAACCGCTTTGCGATTACTTGGAGTTTATTTTTTATTCTGGAAATGGGAATATCATGGACCCTATTACTAATTTCAGAATTGTTTTCAAAATGAGATATACGAATATTAACAGTATTCATAATTTTATTCAAATAACTGTCTAGAGATTTTTTATCAGATTTTTCACGTTTACACCAATTTTTACAGTAGACAGACAGAGCGTCTTTAATGATCTGACGACACTGTTTCCAATCTATTTTAGATGGAGGACGATATTTCGGTCCTTTCTTAAGAAAAGTTATGACCTCACGGTCTTCGACGATGTTGTAAGGACATGCTCATAGGGAACATATCTAAAACTAGATGTTTCACAATCTCAAGTGGAAGGAACATTATTTTCTATATTGACGTCTGATGTAACTGACGTATAATTAAAAATCAAACTTCTGCTGGGTTTTTTATAAGAATACGAAATAATAGGTGGTTCTATATTATCAAAATATGGAGGTATTTGGCTTTGGATGGTAGCGTCATTGAATATACTAGATAAGTTAATAAAATCAATACCTCTATTTATATATTTTAATTTAAGAAAATGCTGTTTATGATTTTCAGGTTTATCGATACTAGGAAATAGCCTATGATGACAAAAGGCTGTAATAATACGGGTGTATTCATACATTGGGCTAAAAAAAGAAATTGTATCACACTCCAGAAAAATAGCATATAATTTACTTATTGGTATCTGACCCAGTTTGCATAATACTTGATGTCTGCCATTATTTTTTATTATAGATAACAGATCAGCAAGTGTTTAATTTATACGATGTTTAATACGTTGATTACGGTTTTTGCGTTTGCCATGAGCCCTTTTATTTCTAAGTCGTTTATCGACAATATTAATGACATCGATTGAAGTTTTAGTTATGTTCCCCTGTCCTAATATTTTGTTGATATATCAAACTTTTGAATTTTTTAGGTCTACGAAAGCGGTAAAGGTGTTCTTGATTTCTTTTGTAATACGCTCGTCCCGTCTGTCCCACATATTGAATACCACACTTAGGTTGGGTTCAAGTTACCACATATATAAGGTTTTGAGTTTTTCAGGTAATGTCACAGGAAAAGGAGAGCGAAAAAGCTCTCCCGGTCACTGTTGACCGTACGTTTAAGTTTGTTTAGTAATTACTAAATTTGTGAACAGATAATTTAAGATATGTTTAATATAAATAATGTCAGTACCAAAACATTGACTACTAGGCTGATGATACTAACGGGTACTAAAAAATATTGTACTTTTGTAATGATTATCCTGATACTATATATAATAAAAAAAAACCTGGAATTGTTAAACAATTCTTTGTTATAGACCCTTTCGAAAAGATATTTTCAGATTAAAACATGACCTGAGACCGTCTTATGACATGTCTTTATCCTTAGATTACTATCAAAATCAGACATAACACACATATTAAACTAACATTGTCGCGAACAAACAATGAAAAAAATGCACTTGATCGCATATTTTCCTTCTAAAATTGGAGACCATGTACAACCCTATAAATATTCATTACATCACTTAAAAAGTAAATAGTATATTACTTAACACAACATTTAAATTTTGAGGTAAATTAATTAAAACGGGATATTCAAATATTCAAATTTTATATTATATTAAAATACCAGACTTTAATAAATTATATGTTCACTAATTCAAATGAGTTAATATATTTCTGGGTTTTTCTTGCGTTTCTGATAACGTTTAATAAGAAAAATGTATAAATGCAGAAAATTTGGCATGTTTGATTTATCAGCTGAAAACATCGTAATATTCTTAAAACTAAATTAGCTTAAGTCGTAAAATTGAGTTTCTAAAACTGCTTTAGAAAAGAAGTAACAAATGTGTTTGTTTCTCTGTGTGTGTGGATTTTTAAAATTATAATCATAAATATTGAATTGTGTATATTTTGTATATATTACTTACAAAGGATTGAATTGTAATTCTGGTACAATTCTGTGTACAACGAAAAGAAAAATAAATTTCCCATATTACATACGAACGTACTAAGCTGGATACGGAAAGCAATTACATCCCACAAATTTCACACACACACACAGACACATTTTATCTCTTCCACATTTTTCTTTAAAGCAACCCAAACAATAAGAAATGATTATAATGTCGAAATGTGTTTATCGTAAAAAAAAAACAACACACATAGACATATCCATGATACATTCAGTAGTTTATGATTCCACGCTATCCCCTAAATCACTAAAGCAAATTCGTGTGCCTTCTTTCCGACAGTTTCGTCAAGTAAGACCGCAGTTGTTGTAAACTTTTTGTCTTCTTAGTGATAATCAGCAACAAAAAATTTTACTCGGAAAACTATTAGGTCAGCTGAACTGTTAGTAAAATAATTCATTTTAATTTTGATTTTGATTAAGTATTAAGAAGTAAAACGATTGGTGGGTTTTGCTTTTTCACTTTTTAATTTGTAATAATTTAAAACTAATTACTTTTTCACATCGAACTAATTAAACCTAAAACCGTACAATAATTAATTCAAAGATTGATATGTATTTCCTGGTGCTATTATGATAAGTGTAACTTATTGTATATATAGGGACGGCGCTTCTAGGGTTCCAATATCGTCACTTATTCATTGTAGTCATATTACTAAGTTGAAGGTAAGATATATATTTTCATATTCTAAAATATCTTATGGATAATCTTTCAGATAAGAAGAAGACGTCTCAAGGTATAAGTATTTTCATACAGATGCTTTTTTATAAACATATCTGGAATTGAAATATTTGTTTAAACACAATAAAACTCTACAATTTTCAATGATACACTTTTTGCAGGATTTTATTTTTTTTTTTCTTAGTAATTATGATATGGAATAGGCCAACGACACTTTTGAATACATCTTTAGTGTAAAAACTGGTGAAGCAAGAACAATGAAAAAGTAAATCTTCTTATTGTGAAGATAACAAAATCAGTAGTTTGTTTACTTCGGTAACAATGCTGATTGAAATTTATTTTGACTACACAATCGTTCACATTTTAAAATCATCTGTTAAAATATTATTTTTTTAATTTTCATTATTTATCGCGATAATTGCATTATAAGATTGTTACACTGATATTAAAAAAAACTGTTAATCTTTGCTACACATAGAGAAATCATGTACATTTAAAATCTAAATCCGTTTCCATACACACATTTTCATGGTCCTTATGAAGGTACATTTTTGCGAAGTCCAAGTATTTTTAACAACTCAGTTTTGAAGCACGCCGGTCTGTTCATGATCACAAAACTATTGTTTTTGTGTGAATATAACGATTTAAAAGTTATATACAAAAAAAGGCGCTTTGGACGAACGAAATTTATCAAAGGTTATGTTTGTTTAAACGTTTATTGGTGAATATTGTTCCTAGTATATTATTAAATTGCATAATCTTGCAAGTGCAAATACTTTTCCACAGCCCAAATGTTTAAATTGTCATAAGAAACTGTACTTTTTTTGTTTGCGATTCTGAAACAAAAATAAAGACAAATTATGGTACATTTTTATTCACGGTGGACAGTATTTAACGTTTTAGTGATTGATTTAGGTATTTAACGCCACTTTTAGTACTATTGGCTATATTGTGGTGGCCAGACTACCCGGAGAGAACAACTGTCTTCTGGCAGAAAACCTTCAACCATACTCAATTAAGATTGGAGTCGAACACACCAGCCACGTGCGGGGTTCGAACTCACAACCTTAGTATTGACAGGCTATTATACAGTAGACGAACATTTTACAGTTATATATCTTTCATGTTTTGATAATTCAGAAGAAAAATATAATGAATAAGATATCTTAACTTTCAGTGTTAAAAATGCAGTCGATTGGTTATTTTTGTCTTTGCATCTGCGCGTTCGTATTAGTACAAGCTGTACAGTACAAGAAGAAAGGATACAGTGGATATGGCCGTAGAGTTGGATACGGAGGTGGTAATAGATATGGTGGCGGTAATGGATACAATGGCGGAAATGAATATGATGCTCTAACTGGATATAATGGCGGTAGTAATGGATATAACGGTGGCGATTATGTTGACTTTGCTCCGAGTGAAAACCAAAATGGTTATAATGGAAACGGAGGTAACGGAAATGGTTATGAAGGAAATGGATACGGTGCAAGAAAATCTTACGGGAAAAGCGTAAGTTCCTAATAAAACAATCAAGTTTGTATGTCACTTAAAAAAAAGACTCTGGTCTTTAAGGGCGGAAAATCAGTAGATGTCGGATCTACGAATTAAATTTATCATGTACAAACTGAGTACTGAATTTCGTTGTGTAATATGGAAGAATTATGTGTTTGTTTTGTTTTAATAAACAGAATTATATTATTATGAGAAATATCTAGTATATTTCTTTCGACAAAGTGAAAGAATTTGTTTCACATTTAGTCTACTTTGAATGATTTAAGTTAAGAATGACTTTTGCATTATTTTACAACAGTAACAAGATTTGAATTAAATAATTCTCTTTATTTCCTTTTAGTCATACGGCAAAGAGCGAAAAGTGAGTATATATTTATCTTAGTTTATCAATTAAATTTCACATTTTTTAGTGTTAATTTTCTTGCACTTTCCCTCTTTCAATTTGTGCAAATTGCTAATTTTCAAAGTTTGATTAATTTTAATAATATACAGAGAAAGAATGTAAAGTAGAAATTTACGAAACAATACCGAACAATTAACTAATCAATATTTATATCTAACAGTTTTTATTAAATAGTTAAATGTGTTAATAATGAGAAACGATGAGACACAAATCATATGTGTAATACATCTTTCCCATCGTTAGTTTTGTGGTGTGATTCTGTTTTTTTTTAAATTCTTTTAGGGTGGCTACTAAGGATCATACCAACAAGATGCAACCAGAATTCTGACAGCCCAATCGACATGTGTGTGTTTATATTGATTTTAACATTTGTATTTATCTGATCTTATTTTGTAAAATATTCAAAAACAAATAAATTATATTCTTCTTAATGAATCTTTTATGTTTTTTTTTGCTGAACATATTTTTTCATATACGAAGCTCCTGAAATTTGATAGTTCAAATTATCTAAATTTCAATGTAGGTTGTAAATGCACGTCAACGAGATTACAACCCATAGAAAAAAATGTAAACAACACTTAAAATTGATGCGTACGAAACGCTTTTCGGGTTTAATCCTTATCATGAACGCTCTCAAAACTGAATATTTTAAAGCCAAGGATGTATAGCCGGGTAAAATGGCGTTCCGGCTAAATGGAAATCAAGAAGGAATATTTCGCTCCTTAAACTTTAATTTATTTAAGCAGTCCGGCAAGACCGAACAACAAACTCCAAACCAAATGTAATGTAACATACAAACAATAACAATATATATATAAGCACAAGCAATTATAGGATTAAGAAGATTAACATATGCCAAATAGAAATAACAATAGATTAGAAGAGTAATTAATGTCCGACACGTATAAGTAAATTATTGTCTAAACTGTTACAGAGAAAACATAATTAAATGAATAGAGTAAATGAATTTAAGTCCTTTGTCCAAGATAATGACACATAATCCGTGTAAAACACTTATGCCTAAATTTACGACAAAGTTCAGAATAATAAAATAAATGCAAAACAAGAATATACATTAAAACAATTGAATTCATAAAATGTTGTTTAAAAACTAATTTCATTGCACAGTCCAAATTGTCCGGTCATATATTCCCGTGGCCCCTGAAGACACGACCCGGGTCTTAATGTTCATCTGAAATTATGGTTCCGAAAGTTTCTTCTGTGGTTGTGGCGTCCTATGTAACGATAGTTTTGGTTTGGATGATTATCTTCTCTTGTATTATTTCGAAAATTGTCCAATTCGTCTTCTAGTTTAGTGATTCGATCCCGCATATGTTCTTTGTCGCGTTGTAATTGGTATTGCTGGTCGATTGCTTCACATCTTTGATCGTAAATCCGAAAATTAGCTTCTTCAAGATCAGTAATGCGTTCCCGTAATTTTTCCATATCTTTTTTATCATCTGCACCTTGTTTTTGAAGTTTTTCTAGATTGCTAACAACACTGGTATGCTTTTGATTTAACTCTTTAAACTTCTTCTCATAGTGTACACTTTTGATTTTAAATTTTACTCTCTCTGAATTCACTCGGTCGTGCCTGAGTCTAACGTTATCTATAAATTCCCTATTATAATCTAAGGTTGGAAAGAAGTCCATCAGTTCAATAGTATTGAGTTCCGCACAAGGAAAAATTGACATAGCTTTCTGTTCTTTGAATTTTCTCATTCTTTCTGCGTCACGACGTAACTTGGATTTCGATTTAACCTTAACAACTTTCACGTCCGGTTGTCTGTGAAAATTACACATTCTGGCGTAATGTCCAAAACTTCTGCACTTATAGCAAAATGACGTTTTTGCTATACATTGTCTAAAATGAAATTGATTGTTCACAGTCTTTCCACAAAACTTACATAGGTAGTTGTCCATATGTTGAAAATTTCTTGTCTGAAAGGTAGTTCCATGATCAGACATCTGGTATCTCCAGTCTCGGCCAAAATTTCTGGCTCTCCGCGTATCCATTTTTCTGTTTGCTGGGGGGGGGGGGGGGGGGTCAGCTTCACAGGTAGAGTAAGGTATCCGAAATATGCGTTGCCCGGATGTTCTTACACCAGATATAGCCGGGTAAAATGGCGTTCCGGCTAAATGGAAATCAAGAAGGAATATTTCGCTCCTTAAACTTTTATTTTAACAGTCCGGCAAGACCGAACAACAAACTCCAAACCAAATGTAATGTAACATACAAACAATAACAATATATATATAAGCACAAGCAATTAAAGGATTAAGAAGATTAACATATGCCAAATAGAAATAACAATAGATTAGAAGAGTAATTAATGTCCGACACGTATAAGTAAATTATTGTCTAAACTGTTACTGTACAGAGAAAACATAATTAAATGAATAGAGTAAATGAATTTAAGTCCTTTGTCCAAGATTATGACATATAATCCGTGTAAAACACTTATGCCTAAATTTACGACAAAGTTCAGAATAATAAAATAAATGCAAAACAAGAATATACATTAAAACAATTGAATTCATAAAATGTTGTTTAAAAACTAATTTCATTGCACAGTCCACATTGTCCGGTCATAGATGTACAAGAACCGAAAAAAGCTATATGAGAAAAAATGACCTAAAAAATTAGCCAAAACCATCTAAGGTCAACTTCGTCCGCCGGAGTTGAAACCTTAGTTTCTTTAGCGACATCTAGACGTCAGTGACTGTACGGTAGAATTTTCCAGCATATTGTCGTCATTTCTATGGGAACCAACAGTTAACCTCTCCAGGCCGTCCTTTCTTATTCTCTTCAGACACTTATAAAAACAAAAAGATCAAAGAAACTGGATTATTCAATTTCACATACAGCTATATCTATTGATGATGTGCTTTCCAATTAACAATTCAAACGTTTTTGATTTGATCCCATTTATCCTTCTGAACTATAGATTAAAGAAACCATAGATACAGCTTCATCTCATTTCTAAACATATATCTCAAATTTGACTACCGCGGTCATCTCAGTACCATACTCTATGACAAACGAGACGATTTTAATTTTGAAATTATAAATTTTCCTCACCTAAGCAGTAATCTACCAACTTAACCCGCGTTTGGATTATATATTTCTCAACTCGTACGATATTCAAAAGCCTGCAGTTGCTACTCAGACTTTTATGATGGTGTCTGGGCAAAAGATTGATAAGCCAGGGTTTTGTCAAATTGCTTCTCTCCTTTTTCTCCAAAGTTCCTCCAACTTCATATACAAATATTCAGTGTCTACTTCACAAACAATACAAGATGGTCTTGAGTCGAAGATTATAGGTACTGAAGTTGTGTATCATTTTAATTCCTTTCCAATTTTTTCCTTTATTTGTCTTTGTGCTATTATGTTCCCTTTGGTCTTAACTTTTGACGTGACTTGGTATTTATGCATCCAGCTATCGGGTTTTTGGTTTTGGGCGTTCCTGATGCAGGTTGGTCCAGAAGTGCAATTCGGACTCAAGACGTTTTTCGAGTGTCGTTTCCATTTTGTTTACCCTTGTATTTATATTTTACTTAATTTGTACTTTATCGAGACGGTGTATACTATATACTGTATGTACTATCAACTAAAAACACTTTTTTGTTGGCGTCTTTGTCAAATTAACTATCAACTATAAAAAACGTTTTTTGTTTGCGGCTTTGTTAGATTTATTTGTATGTTTGTTTGAATTTTTTAGTCAGTTATGTTGTATATCTGTTATGTATGTTTAAACAGTTTTTGCTGCTGGATCCCAATTATTGTCACATTAACTTATTGTATAGAAATAAGGAGATGAGGTATGAATGCCAATGAGACAACTCAATTTAACTGAGAAAACTAATGGCCTAATTTATAACAAAACAATTAACGAAAAACAAATATGACAGACATGAACCAACGACAACCACTGAACTACAGGCTCCTGACTTGGGACAGGCACATAGAGAATGTGTCGGGGTTAAACATGTTTGTGAGTGCTCAACCCTTCCCTTAACCTGGGACAGTGGTGTAACAGCACTTCATAAGAACAAACTATAAAAATCAGTTGAAAAAGGCTTAACTCGTCAGTCAGATTGATATAAAGCAGAAAAACATCAAACATAAACACAGACCGGACGTGGTAGGGTATTTATCCATCCCTCATCCCTAACAACAAAAAGGACACTAAGTACAGACCTGAGAGTACTCGCAGTTACTGACAGCTAGTTCAAAGCCAATAACAACTAATAAAAAAAATCATGTATCTAAGACTAAATTATCAATCATTACACACCCAACATCCAATGAATTTAGTGTAATGACGTCATTAACAGTCAGAGAAAAACATGACCTTGTGCAATGCCAAAATGCCAAAAATAACAAAACTATTAGTATGATTTTCATTTACTGGTAACAAAAGCAATATTTATACCAATAAAAACAATATTCAAAGATCTAGTTACAGTGTTGAATTGGTAACCTTTTAAAATAAGTTTATTTAGAGGATTGATAAGTCTACCCGGATCGTATCTGAATTTCCGGGCTCGGTAAACAACATCACCGTAAAATTTAGGATGTCTGTATGGGTTGCTTACCCAGTTTTCAATATAACGGAACTATAAACTACAGCCATACAAGTAGGAGGTTTAGCTAGCCAAAAAAAAAAGGTTTAACCCACCATTTTAAATTTTTCTTCGGAAAATACCTATACTAAGTCAGGAGTCTGACCGTTGTATTATATTCATATTCATTACGTTGATTGAACACGTCTAACGTTTGATTTTGTCAGTTTTTATGGATTCCCCCTTTTTGAATTTACCTTTGAGTTCGGTATTTTTGTTATACTTTTTTAATAAACGTCTTCAACAGTTTATGATATCTGTATCCTTTGTGTACAATTTTTTATTGTTAAATTTTATGTTCATTACAATCTGCAAACATAAGAAAATTAAACCAAGAAATATGAACAATGTAAGATGGATTGAACGAGACTTCATTATCAACTCCAGCAAAACCAACATTGGAAAAGCAAAGTCATAAACTTTGATATGAAAAAAATTGAAAACAACACGTTTAATAATTTCATGCGTCCGAAGCGCTTTTCTGGATTTACCTTCATCAGGAACGCTCACAGCCAAACATTTGAAATCCGAGGATGTACAAGTACCGAAACCGTTGAAGAGCTATATGACAAAAAAATACATAAAATAAATAGCCAAATTCATCTAAAGTCAAATTTGCCTGAGGGAGTTGAAACCTTAGTTTCTTTATAATTTCAAAATTTATAAACGGACAATTTTAGAAAGGTTTGTTAAATCATGTCAGTACCGAAGAAATGACTACTGAGCTGATGATGTGTTCATTACAATCTACAAACATAATAAAATTAAACCAAGAAATATGAACAATTTTAAGATGGATTGAACG